CAACACTGTACCCATATGAATTTTTTTGCATTTTTTGAGACAGATAAAACTTTATTTTGGTGGTATTTATTCACCACTGGGATTTTTATTTTTTTGCTATATAAATGAAAATGTCCAAAAATTTTGAAAAAAAAAATGTGTTTTTCTTATAAAATTTTGCAAATAAATAATATTTCTTCATAAATCTTGGCCAAAATGTATTTGGTTATCTTTTTAGTAAAAAAAAAAAAAAAAATAACCCAATTTAGTTTATAACCAAAAATTATAATTTTTCAAATTTTGTTTTACATTTTAATTTTTTTTTATATTATTATTTATTTAAACATACTGTCACCCTAGCTGTACAGTGTTACCATAGTGACACTGTACTACTTATAGGGGTGATGAAGATTTTTTCTTTTTTTTTACACGGATTGCTTTTACACACTTAAAGGCTGTAAAAGCAATTATTTCTCTTTCTCTCTGGCTGCATTCTTGCAGCCATTGAGAAATAATGTGTGAGCTGTGATTGGTCACAGCTTGTCACATGGTAGAAGGCTGTTGTGAATAGTCTTGTGCCATGTGATCTCTGTGATCATTCACAGATTTCACTAGTAGTAAGCAATGATGTCAGTAAGTGACATCTTGCTTACTACTAGACATGATCAGGACCTCACACAGAGATCCCATACAGTGATCGGTACAGCGTGGTGTGCGATCCCAGGGAGCGCGCACAGCCAGAAAAAGCGGGTGCCGTTTATGAACAGCAACCCTCTCCTGCACTGCTCCCGTAAAAAGGTTCGGTCCGAGCATGTAGGCCCTTTACAAAATAATCTAGAGTGGGTGACTGAGGACATAGAGAAGTCCAATTTATTAAATACCTTCTTCAGCTCTGTGTATACAAAGGAGCATGGGGGAGCTCTTGTCCATAATGGGCATGGTATTGACACAGCTCCAGATGATCCACATTGGCTCACAACTGATATGATCCAGAAATATTTAGACAGAATAAAGGTGAATAAAGCACCTGGACCGGATGGCATACACCCACGGGTCCTTAAAGAATTGAGCTCTGTCATTTCAAAGCCATTGTTTCTTATTTTTAGGGACGCTTTATGACTGGCATAGTACCACTGGATTGGCATAAGGCCAAATGTGGTGTCAATATTTAAAAAGGGGTCAAAATCTTTCCCAAGTACTGTATCTCCCAGAAGTGAGTCCACCCCTCACATTTTTGTAAATATTTTATTCTTTTTTCATGTGACAACACTGAAGAAATGACACTTTTCTACAATGTAAAGTAGTGAGTATACAGCTTGTCTAACTGTAAAATTTGCTGTCCCCTCAAAATAACTCAACACACAGCCAGGGGCGGACTGACAACTCATGGGGCCCCCAGGCAATAGGGGATCATGGGGCCCCTGTGTCCTTGCCCAAACTCAAAAAAGCCTATGAAAAAGGTACCAGGGGCATCTCATGGGGCCCCTACTCACCCCGGGCCCTCGGGCAGTGCCCGAATTTCCAAATGGTCAGTCCGCCCCTGCACACAGCCATTAAAGCGGAGCTCCAGTCCCTAAAATAATTTTTTTTTTAAAAGCAGACCCAGGATTGCCTTTCCGTTAACATCAACAATTGGATATACTGTAGTTATTAGTTATAGCCTTGTAATTACTTTTAAATATGTTAAACGTTACCTGGATCTTGGAAGCAGGCAGGTGCCATGATGGCTGTGGGCATCTGAAGCCTGCAAGTCTTTACTTCCTGGAGTTTGTGCTGCTGGCTATCCCAGCATGCATCACTCGATCTCACGCCTGCGCAGTACTGACACTGCTCGGCGCTAATATACTACAGGTTTCCATAACAATAGCGGGGGCGGCAGAAGTTCCCAACACAGGACTCTGGTAAAATGGCGCCAAACTCCTCCCATTTGCGTCATTTCCTGTTTTGAAGTACTGCGATAGTCAATCACTAGGAACCCAAAGGACTCCTGGGATACAGGACCTGACATCCCAGAAGACTTTGCAATTCGCCTTAACACGTCATCGCCTAGGCGGCTGGGACCGGAACTTCAGTCCTGAAACTTGATTTAAAGGTGTTTATAATACGAAGAAAAACCACTGGCAACAAAAGTGAGTACACCCCTAAGAGGAAATGTCCAAATTGGGCCCAAAGTGTCAATATTTTGTGTGGCCACCATTATTTTCCAGCACTTCCTTAACCCTCTTGGGCATGGAGTTCACCAGAGTTTCACAGGTTGCCACTGGAGTCCTCTTCCACTCCTCCATGACGACATCACAGAGCTGGTGGATGTTAGAGACCTTGTGCTCCTCCACCTTCCATTTGAGGATACCCCACAGATGCTCAATAGTGTTTAGGTCTGGAGACATGCTTGGCCAGTCCATCACCTTTACCCTCAGCTTCTTTAGCAAGGCAGTGGTCATCTTGGAGGTGTGTTTGGGGTCGTTATCCCGTGCTTCTTAATTGATTTTTTTGTGTGAAAAAAACTTGCATAAGTGTGCTCCCCTGGATTTGACTAGAAACCACCCCCGTGATGGCACAAGCTCCGACTGAACTCCGACAAGACCCAACCCCCCTTTTCAAATCCTGGCAAGACCACCCTTCAATGCTGCGTACTCCAATCAAGTAAGTAACCCCCCCCCCCCCCCTTTTCCTCTTGCATAGACTCCCACCCAAAATACACGCTCCGCCTCGTCTGCACGCCCCAGTCATGCTGGCCCTCCCTTTTAGCTTCGCTCAGTCCAGGCCTTGACTGAACTTCCACTTTAGATTTTATTGTCCTACTACCTGGTTTCCCTGGGGCACTGGTGACGTAGCCCTGGCCTCACTGGTGCCCCCTGGGAAGGCTATCTCCCTAGTGCCTTCCAGGGAACTCTCACATATGCACCAGACGAGATATGGGCAACCTGGTATTGAACAATAGGCCATGTCAGATCTTGTACAGTACATGTGCTGCATGAGATCTAGAACATACACCATGTATGATCTGCATGCTTTGTTACTGAAAAATAAAAGGTCATGTCAGATCTTGGCATACGGCGCTTGCATCTAAACTTTCTTTGGTCATTTGTTTTGTTTCTGATTATTTTCACTTATGTTTTTTAACAGTTTGTATTTTGTGATAGTAATTGTATCTATGATGTTAAGTAGGGGTTAATTGTGGCAATCTGTCTCAGCTGGAAGGGGGTTGGTTTTCCACCCCTTTTATCAATGAATGGACCCTTGATGTGTTGTGATCAAGTACTTCACTGTGTGAAACGCATTAACGTTCCTGTGTACTTGTTGCGGTTATCCTGTCAGCTTTGCCATAAAGATAATTACCATCATCCTGGCACAGAGTGCGAGGTCACCTTTTTCTTGTTCTGGCACTTGTACCATATGTGATCTGGAGTAGCTCATTATTCTTCAATGACAGGCCTCATATGGTGTATCAATGAGATCTGGAACAATACGATCAATGGGCCAGCACAGGACAAAGAAGTAGAAGCTTGTCACTGATGTTATTCTTAAATATAGCAATGTAGAATGCAGAGCCCAGGCGGGTAGGACCTGCGATAAAAAGGCCAATGAATAAAGAAAGAAACTTGTTCCTCTTTGTAGCGTTAGGGCTTGTTAATGTGCACAGCAGCGTTTGGTGCTCTTCTGAAAGGCGATCTGCAGTGGATTGCTTTTCAGATGGCATTTGGCAGGCAGTGAGTAGGCACTATGTTATCTCTTTCTACCTGATTTTTTGCATGTGGTTGGGGGGGGGGTCATTGTAGTGAGGCCCCATAGACTTGCATGGGGTCATGTTCGGGAGCAGTTTCTTAGGGATGGGGGGGGGGTCCTGCTTACGGCAGCCTATTCATGTGGTTAGACTGTCAACGCACCACCGTAGACTAAGGCTCCATGCACACTGGGCGTTTTGATAACGCTGGTAACGTTAGCTGTGTTACATTAAAAACATGTTTTTTTTAGCTTTCCTTAGTGTTTTTGCATTAGCATTTTGCCTCCTTTTCCTACATTTGCGTTTTTTAGAGTTTTTTTACAAACAAAATCTATTTTTTTTGGTCAAGAAAACGTCAAAAAATGCCAGTTTGTGGCATTTTACTGCATTTTTCAGAGTTAGAGCGTTTTTACAGCTAACAAAATCCTCTAGAAACCCACTAATCCTGGGTTTTTTTTTCCAGCCAAAAAACGCTGATTACAGTCTATGTGTGCATGGACACATAGGATAACATGCTGGGGGGTTTACTGGGTGTCGAAAAAAACCATCAAAAGCCAAAAACAGCCGCTGTAAAAACATCCAGTGTGCATGAGGACTAAATATCACGTCTTCACCAAGTTTGGTGAGTGCTGTGTACCACAATGCACAGTAGCGTGTAGCGTGTTACACTGCAATGCAGGTGTGTTGATGTGCCGTTCACAATTACCACAGCGCACGGTTATGAAAGGGTCCTAACTGAATAGAGATTGTTCACTCAGCAAGCCTTACAGTGACATTCAACTCATTTTTTGTTTTGAAACTAAACAAAACCCCAGGTGGTTTATGCCATAATGTACTAGTATGTACTACATATCACATATATACTTATCCCTGATCCCTCAGGTCCCAGGCGCTTCCATTTTCACTTGGTCTTCCTTCCCGGTACCATTTGTTAGGCTGTAATGATGTCATTTCACACAGGAGTCACATCATCACAGCACTCAGCGGGTGTCATAAATGTATACTGAGCTGCACATGTGTGGCGCAGAGGACATGACAGGCAGGGGGAACCATATTTGCCAATAGTGTCTCTTCTGTCATAAAAACCCCACCTGTAAGCAATTTTTTAAAAAGTGGGTCTAATACCACTTTAGCCACTAGCCTACAGGGCACTTATACCCCCTTCCTGCCCAGGCCAATTTCCAGCTTTCAGCGCTGTTGCACTTTGAATGACAATTGCGTGGTCATGCAACACTGTACCCATATGAAATTTTTATCATTTTTTTTGTGACAGATAGAGCTTTATTTTGGTTGTATTTTAATCACCTCTGGGTTATTTTTTCTTAAGCCAAAAACCACTGAAAATTTTGAAAAAAAACCCCGTTTTTTCTTAATTTTTGTTATAAAATTTTGTAAATAAGTAATTTTTCTCCTTCACTGATGTGCGCTAATGAGGCTGCAGTGATGGGCACCGATAGGCTGCACTGATGGACACTGATAGGTGGCACTGATGGGCATTGACAGGCATCACTGATGGGCACTGAAAGGCCGCACTCATATGGCACTGATAGGCGGCACTGACTGGCACTGTTAGGCAGCACTGACTGACATTGATAGGTGGCACTGAAAGGCAGCTCAGATGGGCACTGATATGTGGCATTGAAATGTGGCACTGGCAGGTGGCATGGATGATGAGCACAGAGCTGGCACTGATGGACACTGGCAGATAGCGCTGCTGGGGCTACATAGATCATCAGTGCACTGATGATCTGTGTAGATGTCCCCTCCGAGGAATGCCGATTACCGACTATCCTCTCGAGCTGTCAGCTAGTGAGGAGAGAAATGCCGATAACCGGCATTTCCCTGTTTACATGTGACCAGCTGTGATTGGACACAGCTGATCATATGACCGAGCCAACATCTTCGGCTCTTTCCATAGATCGGTGATCAGCTGCTGTGTCCAAGGAACACAGTGCGATGCCGATAGCCCGCGCGCTCCCAGAGCCACGCATGCGCGGTGGGAATGAGAGTCCTCCCAGAACAAGAGCCGTGCGTCCGTCATATTACTATATGGCAGGTGGGAGGCGGTTAATAAGGTGAATTTTCCAACCCCAATTTCAAAAAAAGTTGTGTGCTGTGTAAAATCTACATAAAAATGGAATACAAGGATTTGCAAATCTCATAAACCCATATTTTATTCACAATCGAAAACTTGTCAAAAGTTTAAACTGAAAAAAGGTCATTTTGAAATTTTGGCAGCAACACGTCTCAAAAAAGTTGGGACAGGGCAACACAAAGCTGACAAAGTGATACTAACATTTTTCAACTAATTCAGGCCATACATGGGTCGAATTCCAAAAGAATTTTCTTTTGAAAATTGTAACTAAGAATTTTCATTCAAATTTCACACCATTAGTGGGCCGCAGCATCAGCAATTTCAGTGCGGCCATCGAATTTTGAGTGATCGGGCATGTTGGAAATTTTTTTAAAAACTAACACATTTCTAATCATTGATGGGAGAATCATGCAAGAAATAAAATTGAAAAGGAAATAAGCATGAGTTCTGACCTGGAAAGAAAAGAAGATGCCCAGCCACGAAAATTATTTTCTGTAGCAACGTGAGCTGAAATTGAAGGCTTGGTTGGTTGAATTTCAAAATCAATGGTGGCACCATCGGATTACAAACCACACAAAATTTCCGATTTGCTACAGAAAATTTGTTCAGAATTTGACCCATGTATGGCCTGCATTATTAGGTTAATTGGCAACAGGTCAGTAAAATGATTGGGTATAAAAAAAAAAAAGCATCTTGGAGAGTCAGAGTGTCTCAGAAGTAAAGATGGGCAGAGGTTCACCAATCTGTGAAAGGCTGTTTATAAAAAATTAGAAAAGAAGAAGGCGGCGCCCTCTAAGTGCAGCATTAAAACTCTTTAATATGGCTGAAAATAGTACATGCTACTCACAAAGGCATGGTGGAAAAGCACTTGTAATATGGAATAATAGGCATCCACTGTGTGAAGGGACAGGAGTCATGCAGGATGGTCCAGTATTAGGCGGCGTTGCCGGTGGCTCCCAGCATTTCCTCCCTCTGGACGGAGAAGACGTCACTTCCGGCCACTTGATGGCAGGGTAGGGGGTGCACGTTCAGAGTATGCACGCTCCCTCTTCAGAATAATGTTCTTCAACGTAAAATTGCGGAGACAATAGATATATCATCATCTACAGTACATATCAAACGATTCAGAGAATCTGGAGAAATCTCTGTGTGCAAGGGACAAAGCCCAAACACAATATTGGATGCCTGTAATCATTGGGCTCTCAAGCGGTGCTGCATTAAAAACAAACATGAATCTGTGATGGACATCACTGCATGGGCTCTGGGATACTTCCAAAAATCACTGTGAACACAAATCACTGTACAATCCAAAAATGCAAGTTATATCTGGATCATGTTCAGATATAGTCATATCCAAACATGATCCAGAAACGCTGTCATCTTCCCTGGGCCAAAGCTCATTTAAAATGGTCTGTTGCAAAGTGGAAAACTGTTCTGGGGTCAGATGAGTCGAAACTTGACTTCCTCTTTGGCAACCATAGGAGAGGAGCTGCATGCTCCGGACTAAATAGGAAAAAGGGACTTTCTGACTTGTAATAACTGCTCAGTTCAAAAGCCTGCATCTCTGATGGTATGGGGGTACATTAGTACGCAAGTAATGGGCAGTTTGCACATCTGGAAAGGCACCATCAATGCTGAAAGATATATTTTGTGTTTTAGAGAAGCATATGCTCCAGACAACATCTTTTTCAAGGAAGGCTTTGCATATTTCAGCAGGACAATGCTAAATCGCATACATCTTTGACAACAGCATGGCTTCATAATAGAAGAGTCTGGGTATTTAATTGGCCTACCTGCAGTCCAGAACTTTCATCAATTGAAAATATTTGGCGTATCTTGAAAATATGGGTTTGTGAGATTTGCAAATCATTGGATACTGTTTTTTTTTTTTTAGAATATACACAGTGCCCCAACTTTTTTGGAATTGGGGTTGTAGTAAATCTAGTCGGTGTCCACTTCGAATACGTTGTCATTCCCATACTTTGTGAAGAGTACCAAATAATCACCAGTGCAAAATTCCTCCACCAATCTTCTCATCCTTCTGCCAGCCGAACAGGGCTGTGCTGAGCAGCAGGCAAAGACAATTGACAGAGGACCTTTAAGCCAGTGCACTACCTCATTAAAGCAAATCTATTAAGAGCAAAAGAGAAGGGCTGCCATTACTGATCTTCTGAAAGAGCTACATTGAATGCCTGGCCGATTTTCTTATCCTTTGGCTTCAGTATCTTGAATAACCAAAACCAGAAAGATTATGCAGATCAGAAAAATTCAGTCTTTATTTGCCTAGGTGTTCTTGGTCAGAGACAAAAAAAAGGGCGGACTGGGCAAAACGGTAAAAAAAAAAAAAAAAAAAAAGACCACCACCAGGGGGGAAAAGAAAGAAAAAATGAAAAAAAAAATGGAAAAAAAAATGTATCATATGCCATAATTTTCCCTTTCACATCTGGACATCAATGCATCCCTGTAAGGGCAAACATGGCCCTTGCAACAGCATACGCAGTAGTACCCCCATATGAATGAGGCCTAAATATTGGTGTTCAACCCCTTGATGCCGACGTCACACAAATATGCGGCCTCACGGAAATGGGCTTTTTTCCGTGGGACCGAATATTTGCGCACCTGTCTTTGTGCTGGGACTGTGCCGCACTGCGTGCTGCCAGCACAAAGACCTCGGTGTCACTGAGAGCCCCAGGACTCCCGATTTCGGGTCACATGATCGCTGTGATAGCCTCTGATTGGCTATCACAGTAATCAGTCACTGTGCAGCCCGGCCCCCTTGTTTTTTTTTTCTCTCTATGAATGGAGGAGAGAGATCACTCTAACTCCTGACATAGAGAGAAAAAAAAAATGTTTGTTTAAAAAATAAAATAAAAAAATACCTAGATCAAGGTTTGATCTAGTTCAGTGCTAGGGTTATTGTTTGGGTCAAGGTCAAAAGGTCAGGATTTATAAAAAAAATTGGTGCCAGTTAGTGTCAATGTCAGTGTGTTTTAGGTAAAAAAGACAAAAACAAAATGCGCACTATTTTTTCTGGGCTGTACTACAGGTAGGTTATGGTAGTAACAAGAAACACACAGCTAAATAAAATTTCTTTTTTACTATTTTGGGCCAGTTTTCCTTTGATAATAATAATAATAAAAAAAAAAAAAAAAAATCAGGAGATATCCATTACCATTTACCACCAAATGAAAGCCCAATTTGTCCTGAAAAAAAAAACACGGTATAATTCACCTGGATGTACAAAGTAGTTGTGATGATATGTACGGTTTTACTAACACATGTCAACATTGTAAAATTGTGCTTAGGCATTTTGATTTGTTTTACCCTTAGGTGTGAAGGGGTTAATGAAAGACAATCAGAAAGGTGGACTTCGCTTTTAACACACATTTTATTACTGTCTGTGTCCTTGCTAGAAAAGCACAGACAGTCATAAAATTGTGTTTTTATTGTGCATATATTTCTGTTGGAGAAATTTCCTGGCCAAAAGACCACCATCACATGAACAGAAAACGGAGGGAGATAGTTCCCCTAAATCAGTGCTTCTCAACTCCAGTCCTCATGGACCCCCAACAGGTCATGTTTTCAGGATTTCCCTCAGATGAAACAGCTGTGGTAATTACTAAGGCAGTGAAACTGATCAAATCACCTGTGCAAAATAATGGAAATCCTGAAAACATGACCTGTTGGGGGTCCATGAGGACTGGAGTTGAGAAACACTGCCCTAAATGGACAGAGGCAAAAAAAAAAAAAAAAGGAAGAAGATTAAAAACACAAGTAGTAAGGATAAATAAATAGAAAACAGGCTTCAAACCACACGCTTTACAGATATACAATTTTTATTAATACGAATTACAATTCAAATAAACAGTTCTGCGTACAAAACACGACTGTTAAAGCTCATTAAACCAAACTTAATTATAAAAACAATAAAAAAAAACAAACAAGAACTTCCAGTTAAAGGCAAATTGGCCTATTTTAGTGCAAGTACAGATGAAGGTGAGCTCGGATGTAAAGCAATGTACAACATCGTCCTCCATGTACTACAATAAATATTCTCGCGGAGCGTGCAGTGCACTCCCTGTCATATTTCTTTAGAGGTAACGTAAGGTTCTCACACAGATAACAGTCATTTCTGTGCATTTGTCTTTTGCTTTTCCTGCCTGTAAACATGACTACAGAAAAATTCCAGTACTTCTCATTGGTGCATAACACAATCATATAGAAGATACTTAAGAATACTTGTATCCTGTGTCAATCCTGTAGTGGTAGGTTAATTGGCATTTACTGAAATTGAACCCCACAGTATGTGAAGGGACATTAGATTGTAAGCTGCTTTGGGGGCAGCAAGTTAAAGAATGGTTCATTTCCTGCTTTAAGACCTGGTTTGGAAAAATTTGAATGACAGCTCGTGGCATAGGTTCCCACCTGCTCACCCTATAGAGGATGTGATAAAAAGGTACACAAAAAAGCTGCAAAGATTGCCTTTCATTGCCACAGATGTGAAATGTTACATCCATGGAAGGCCAGGTTAACCAACTGACTTACACTGTTTCAGCCAATGGTTCACCGAAAAACAAGAGAATTTTCAGCTATATATTGTGTTCGGGAATGAGTGTGAACGGATACCATTTTCTTGAAGTTCAAGTGGAGCCTCATGAACTGGTGTATGTCCCACCCAGCACCAGGAAAGAGTACCAGTCTGGCTGAAATAAAGCTTTTGGGGCATTTTGAGTGGTACTGACGTTTTAATTAAGAAAGCACTTACTTTGTTCTCTGGCCTAACTATAGCCTCTGGCAGAATCTTCACGTCCAACACACTTTGGTCCTCTGCTGTGCACTGTTGATCCTCTTGGTGGCTCCTATGTCACCATCCTTTCCTGTAATGGGAGGTAGGGGCCGTTGGGAGAAACCACAGTGCACAACGGAAGACATAGGCATCCAACACATCCAGGAGTGTTGTATGCGGAAGATTCTGCCAGTGGCTGTAGCTAATCAAAAGACCACAAGCAAGGACCTACTGCCCCATAGAGAAGTAAGCAAAAAAAGTCTCATTTTGCAGGAGCACTGAATGCAAATGCTGTATAATTGGGGAAATGAATGAATTAGTGTTACTTATGTATCATCATAGAAGACACAGTGTTTATTGCTTTATTCTGGGTGCGATTTAGTGCTTTATTCTGGGTGCGATTTATGAAGTACAGTCCTTCATACTGGTGACATTTGTAGACTGCCTGGGCCTACCTACAGGACCTTAAGGCCAAGCACTTATTGAATCAATGACTGGTCTAGAAGAACCTCTCAACTGTTTTGGTCCAGAGGAACTCTTCAAATAATTTTCAGGAGAGAAAGTCCCCTTACAGTGGTGGCCAGTGGGACAAATTCCCCTTTTTTCAGACATCTAAAAAGATCTCTGGTGTCATGCTGCTGGCTCTTTCAAGTGGCATAGGACAGGGAACTATGTAGGCACCATCATCAGATGGAAGGTCAATCAGCCACAGCTCAAGGAACCCCTAGCAACCCTAGTCGAGAATGGTTGGTATAGAAGCAGCTGATCCCGTTCATAGAAACTCATGGGCTTTGAGTATTCGTGTTGGGAATCGGGGTGGGGGTAAATCTTGCATGTCACGTTTTACCTCTTTATTCTTTTAAATGGTAAATATTTTAATTCGTTGAAGAGGCAATATGATAAAGTTATACCTTTTACTGGGGAACTGAGAAAAAGATTATACGAACATACAAGGCACTAATATTTCCCCTTCATGCAAATTCACAGATTAAAGTGTTATTTCCACTCTTGCAGCCAAGCTGTGATAACACCTACTTTATATCAAAGCAGAACTTCACTCTTTCAATCAACATGGACTATTCGTAATCCTTATGCTGCTAGCATTCGTAAATAGATCAAAAAGTATTTCATATTTACTTGGTTCAACTTTTTTGCTTTCTTTCATTTACTTCCTGGTTTCCATGCCTAGGCAAATGAGGTTATACATCCTGGGAGTCTTCAGGGGGGGAGGGAAGGTTCTCAGTTCAGCCAATGCCTGAGCTAAGAGGTGTTTTTTTAAAATGATCTCTCAGCAAAATAAACTATGGAAACAGATGGGTGGATGGAGAAGTTTTTTTTGAACACTAAAAATTAATTATATAGCATTTTTGGTCTGTGGTACTCAGATGCAGTGCAGTTCCACTTTAACTACATGGTCACATTCAGATAGCATAACAAAAAAAAAAATATATAAAAAAAAATTGCTGCAAACCTCTTTACTTGCTGAAAACACATTTTTCGCTTCCTCCTTCTATAAAATGTTAAAGAGGTGGTGGGGAGTTGTGTTTACCATAATCAACTCTCACTCTGTACTATCCTGGCAGATCTCAGTACGAATTGTAAATTAGATGAGCACACTGTCTGTCCTAACAAAGGGTTAAGGATCTCAAGGCTTGGGAATTAACTTTAAATATGCTGTTGAATGGGAAAACAAAAAAAAAGAACACAATAGAGAGGAGGGGGTTCTCAACTTTGACTGCTAAAGTTGAAATACATTTTAAATAAAACCTAATATAAATGTATTGAAGTTTTTTGGGTAGCTATTAAAAGTATCAATTTGAAATTGCTTTTCCAAAAATATTTTTTTTAAACACTAGAATGAATTACTTTTTGTTCCATGTAGGTAAAAATAAAACACAAAAAAGTGAACACAAAAATGCACAACCTCTTCAGGTTATTAGGAAAACCCATCATCTTCACAGCAATATTCTGGGAAAAACCAGTCTGCTAAAACCATCAATTATTTTATGAGGATCTAGAAATCCATTGCTGTGTCTTTCCTCAACCATTTATTTGGCTAATCAAGCACTCATGAGAAAGCAACCTATTGGTTTTCTCCAAACTGATGACATCATCCAGAAACAAAATGGCTGTCTTTACTAAGAGGTGACAGCGGATTTTAAAGACTTATTGGCACAATGCACCTGAGTACAAAATTAGTTATTCTAGCAACAAGAAATAGAAGTATAAATATAAATCTGAGGTACTTGTGTGCTTAGTAGTAGATCTGTTTAAATCACTTATAGGTTCTTGAGGTGGGGTGGGGTGGGGGGGGGGGGTGAGGAAAGTTTCTTTATATTAAAATTCATGCTTCTGTAGTTCAAGGATTTCCACGCCAGTCTTTTCATACAATAAAACGTGTTTGTAAATGTCAGGTAGAAGACTAATGTACTTTTTTTTTTTTTTTTAATACATTTCTTTATGAAGCCTCAGGCATGAACTTTTCTGGAAGAATTCCATCTGCAGCCAATAGAAACCAAAGTCTATATTTCCTTTTCAAGAAAGAAGCCAATTGGTTGTCAAGGAAAACACCACAATTCTCTCTTAGATATTCATGTATGAGGCTCATTCAAATGTAGTGAATGCTGTGTGAATATTAAAAGGTTCAGTATACGCTATAATGCAGCAAGACTTTTAGGTGAAACCTGATAGAACGAGTCATCCTCCGGTCTCATATATCTCCCCTCCATGTTCCGCATATCTGTTCCTGCATATATTGGAATGCTAGCAGTACCAACCTCTTTTTTTAGTTTTCTAAATAGAAGATTAATTGAAATTAGGAGAAAGACCCCTTGTAATGGCTGTGGAAGATGTTCAGAGTTGGAAACTCAAGTCTACCACAGTCACTGAGAGATGCAAGTAATTTCCCAGCATCTAGAAAAACTTGAGTTCTAGGTGGACTGGTCCTTTAAAAATATATACCTCTTCAGTCTAACATTACAAAAAGATTGTTATGAAATTTCCCCCATAGAACATACACTATATAGCCAAAAACGTGGACCTCAGGCCATAACACCTAGCTATAAGGTCAAAGGTATGTGTGGACCCCCTTTAGATTTTTTCCAGTGAAGGGTACCGTAAATGCTAGAGCATACAAACACATTTTAGACAATTGCGCATTGTGGTAACAGCCTGGAGGAGACCCATTTGTGTTCAAGCATGACCTTGCTCCTGTGCACAAGCCCAGCTCCATAAAGACCTGATTCAGTGGTTCACTGTGGATAAATTGGAGTGGTCTGCACAGAGGCTTGAGTTCATCTCTACTTGGGATGAACTGAAACATGGACTAGGAGCCAGGTCTTTTCATTTTAACATCAGTGCTTGACCTTACAAATGTGGTTTTGGCTGAATGGGCAGAAATCCCCAGAGACCCTCCACAATCTTGTTGAAAACCTTCTCAGAGGGGTGGCTGTTCAAGTTCAATGGGTGGCAACTCCATATTAATGACTATGAATATGGAATTAAGCTCATATAGATGTGATGGTCAACAGACTACATATTTTGGTCATATAGTGTAGAAACATCACCAAGACGTCTGCATTACCATAGTACAAATTTGATTATTGACCTCTAAAAAGGCTGGCATTAGAATTACATTTGTCGGCAATTAACTTTTTATTTTACCTTTAGATGGGTATGTATGATTTCTTATTCCAAGTCATGATTGGTTTTATTAGAGCAATGAAGTAATGAGTTAAACTTCTGTCTTGTCAGAACTCTTTGAACTTTGCAACGTGTCTGCTTTTATTCAAATATCATGAGGTTCTCTTCCAAAAGTCTCTGAGTAATAAGTCAGGATGTCAAAATCAAATGTTTAAAGGACTTCAGTGGAGTGGATGTTGACATTACCACCGGATTATTTTGGACAGTTGCCTAGATGTTGCCAAGAGTTTAGGTATTTATTCCCTGTAGAAACGATTAGAAATCTCTTTGGAGTGCATTTACAGAATAGAAAAATAAAATAAGTGTCATTCCAGCTACAGCCATTTACTGTCTGAGAACCAACACAGTGATGATCCACTATAGCAGTCACCAGGCACAAAACAGTTTTCTGGCCGTCACCCCAGACCTCCTAAAGAATGCCAGAAAATGAGATTTTTAAAGTACATATCCCATTCATAAATCCAACTTCATCTTCTTGTAGCTGACAAAGTTCTTCAGAGTTAATATTTAGTGGTTATTAGTGGGTAGGTGCATACAATCAGACTCAGACATCAGACTCCTTTCCTGGATAACACCTGCAACAGCCTTTAGAGACAAACTCAATTTCAGGCTTCTCCAGAAGGACATCAGCTGAACTGTTCCATTCACTTATGATGTCTTCTACACGGCTGATGTAGAGGAGGGAGAGAAGAACTCCAAGGAACTGGCAAAAGGGAAGAGAACATAGTAATGAGTGTGTATAGGGGCACAAACACTGCACACTTATTTACAGATGTCTGAGTGGACCACACCAGAAGGTTTGGGCATTGTCCAACACTGGGGTATCTTGTATGGAATTCAAAACACCCTTCTCTAGAGTGGAAATACAGAAGAATATTAAACACCCATCCTGTACATACAGTATGTAAGAGGTTTTTTAATGGGGAGCGCGCACGGTCCTCATTCATGTTAAGTTCAAGCAGACAATTTGCATCCACATTACAGTTCTACTTATGCACCATAAACATCAGTATATATTTAAACCATAAGAAAACATGTCATAAATAAAAAAGGACAGATCAACACAAATATCCAAACAACATAAAGGGAGTAGAGCAGAGGACAGGGCATTAGGAAGGAAGAGTATGGGAGTCAGCGGGGCAAAGGGGGTCAGGAGGGCACAGTGGGGGGGGGGGGGGGGGGGGCATGGCAGGAAATACAGTATAGGGGGCAGGAGGGTAAAGTACAGGGGGGCGAGCTATTGTATTATTTACAGTTTGGTTAACTGGCGATACGCCATCTGTTCATTACCAAAGTATTCCGAATATTTTCTCTGTGGATGTGCCTTTATTTGCATATACTGAATATTTCTCTGTGAATGTTCATTTATTTGCACAGTCAGAATAAAAACAAGTGTTACAAAAAAAAAAGAAAAGCAAAAAAACAAAAAAAAACAAAAGCAGATGGGGGAAGGGCAGGACAGTACAGTACAGTGGTCAGAAGGGCACAGTATAGGGTGCAGTAATGTATAATACAGAGATGGTCACCTCAAGCAGAGCAGCGCAGGGAAGTGGATGTGTACTGCTATATACACATTGGATGAATAGGAGAGGAGGTCCAGTGGGGATCAGAGAAGTACAATAACCGCCCTTAACCTCTGCAGAGTGGTGGAAGAGTGATGGAAACTGCGGGGGGAACATGCATCTGGGGCATTCTATGCATGAAGGTTAAAAATCTTCTTGATACAGCTCCCCCTCAGCCCCCCTAATACGCTAATACTTACCTGAGCTCCAAATTGATCCAGTGATGTGCATGAGCTGCAGCTCTCCTGGGGCTCTCACTCCTCATTGGCTCACACAGCAGTGGGAGCTATTGGCTCTTGCTACTATTATTCACAGCCAATGAGCCAAACAGCGTGGAGGGCAGTGGCTGAGCCGCGCTCTGTATGTGAATGGACAATGTCCATTGGGGTGTTCTGTAGTTCTAACACACCTCTCAGTGTTATCTCAAAAAGGCCTCTGCTCTTTGACTACATGTCCTTTATGTTGTGGAGATCTGAGAGTAGGCGTGGCTGAGTAGTTTAGCAAAAGACAACTGGGCAGGGCTGACACCACAAACATGCAGTGGTTGGTCAGCCCACAACAGGGCTTAAAGTGGTTCTAAAGGCTCAAGGTTTTTTCCCTTCATGCAACCTATGTGCAGCATCCCCCCATAATACTCACCTAATCCCCCTCTCAATCCAGAAATGTACACTGGAGTCTCGGTTGTCCGAGGACTCTCTCTTATCAGTGGCTGAGACAGAAGCGGGAGCCATTGGCGCACACTGTTGTCAATCACAGACAGTAAGCCAATGAGAAGGGGGGGGGGGGGGGGGGGTGGCGATCCACAGCTTGTGTGTGTGAACGGACAAATGGAGCAGTGGGTGCCCCCATAGAAAGCTGCTTGCTGTGGGGGCACCTGAAAGGAGGGACAGGGCCAGGAGTGCCAGCTGGGGACCCGAGAAGAGGAGGATCCGGTCTGCTCTGTGCAAAAATCACTGCATACAGCAGTTAAGTAGACATATTTCTTATTTTTCTGCCTTTAGAAATCACTTTAAGAGTTTAGTTTAATTTCTGACAGGCCAGCTGGCATTTTTCTGTACTTTGCCTATAACATACAGTATACATACATTTTAAAAAACATACTAACAAAAAAAAAACATAGGTGTGTCATGTAGGAAAGATGGTACCTTTCCATTTCTAAAGTACCAGACTGTGGTGACTATACAGACTTACCTGTGGAAGAAGAATTCCTAGAAGTATCCCAGCCATAATAGTGTAATTGTCCAAAAACCACATAATGACTGCATTTGTACAGCCCCTGGGGTGGATGATACTCTGTGCTTGCTGTCTCTAAAGATGAAAAAAACAAAAAATATATCAGCAATGTAGGAAGAAAGGAGTTCGTTGACTAATGGTTTTGAAAGAACCGCTTGTGATGCCTACATTATCCAATACAATTCTCCCTTATAAGCTTCAGGTTAAAGTGGAATTGACAATGAAGTGATACTAAACACATGCTGTTAAATTTTACATGATCCCTTCAATTTCTGTATATGGATGATGGCACCGTAATTATTTTATTTAAAAAAAAAAAAAAAAAAAAAAAAACACCACAACATCACACATCTAAGTACCTTTTTCCTAATCCATATACAGCTGTCACATGACCCAGCTCTCCCCAGCCTTTCTGCAGGGAAACAGTGGCAGAAGGAGCTTCTAGTCCTCTGCTGCTGGTCACGGTAAAAAAAAAAAAGAAAAAAGAAAAAAAAAAGGCCTTTGGAATACAGAGTAAAAAAAAATTATTTTTTGGAACAACATGGTGTCGGGTTAGTCACAGTCACACCCCTCCAACTTGTGGCTTTAGAACAAATCAGGTGAAGTCTCCATCAATCTACATGCAAAATTGAAGCGATGTGTAAAATGATGTCACTATATACACCCACTTTATTAATTAAAATACACCTGTTCAATTGCTTGGTAACACAAAGTGCTAATCAGCCAATCACATGGCAGCAACTCAATGCATTTAGACATCTAGATGTGGTGAAGACGACTTGCTAAAGTTCAAATCGAGCATCATAATGGGGAAATAAAGGGGATTTAAGTGACTTTGAACATGGCATGGTTGTTGGTGCCAGACGAGCTGCTCTGAGTATTTTAAAAACTGCTGATCTACTGGGATTTTCACGCACAACCATTTCTAGGGTTTACAGAGAATGGGCCGAAAAAGAGAAAATATCCAGAGTAGCAGTTGAGTGGACAAAAATGCCTTGTTGATGTCAGAGGTGAATGGGCAGACTGACTGGTTCGAGATTATAGAAAGGCAACAGGAACTCATGTCCATATGGACCAAAATCTGAGAAATATTTTAAACACCTTGTTGAATTAAGGCAGTTCTGAGGGCAAAAGGGGGTCCAACCCAGTGTTAGCAAGGTGTACCCAATAAAGTGGCCGGTGAGTGCAAGTACCTGTAATAAATAAATATCCCACCCCCATTGTGTTTAACTGGTTAGAGGGCATGGAGGAGGGAGGGAGGGAGTGGGCTGTTGGCTGTTATGTACAACTGTGTATATGCCCACATGTGTGATTCTATAGTCACATGGGCTGCTCAGATGTGATAGGGAGGAAATGCTTAGAAAAATCAGTAAAAACAGAGCATGTGCAGAGCTGCCAACACTGCTCTGCAAAATCCCTACCTGCAACGGGGACTTGGACAGAAGGGAGAGAACAGCAGGTTCAACCAGGTTTTTTGCAGAATGCACAAAACAAATTTCATAGTGACAGAGTATGAACAGCATGTAATACAGCATTTATTCATACCTTTTTATGTTGTGGGTTTAATGACCCTTTAAGAACACATTTGCTAACACTTTTTAAGCAGTTACAGCAAAATGATTTTTTTCCTTTTGGGATAAAGGTTTTGCATAAATAAATAAAAGCTGATCATTTGAAGGACCCCTGCCAGTGTTAAATGGTTTGTCTCATCCCTGTAACTGCAAATGAGCTTTTCTGTTGAAAAACAGACTTACTGGTTGGATCACCAGATGTAAATGAAAGAATGAAAGAAAAAAAAGAAAAAAGAAAAAAAAAAAAAAAAAAAAAAAAAAAAAAAAAAAAAACCCACAGCCATCACATCTAAGAACTGGAAAAGTGCAATATAATAAAATGTTTGCTTTTGAATTTAATACTGTTTGAAGAGCCTGGTTCACAACACAATTTCTGCGCTCCGGATGCATGTTTTTGATGCGTTCCCGTGCATTTTTCCCCCCTTATTTATTTCAGGTACTTATATAGCGCCGTCAATTTACGCAGCGCTTCTACATATATATTGTACATTCACATCAGTCCCTAACCCTCAAGGGGCGTACAATCTAAGGTCCCTAACTCACATTCATACATATACATACTAGGGCCAATTTGGACAGGAATCAATTCACCTACCAGCATGTCTTTGGAGTGTGGGAGGAAACCCACACAAGCACAGGGAGAACATGCAAACTCCATGCAGGAGGTGCCATGGTTGGGAATCGAACCCATGACCATTTACTGCAAGGCAGATGTGCTGACCATCAGGCCACTGTGCCACCCATTAAGCCACTGTGCCACCCATTAAGCCACTGTGCCACCCATTAAGCCACTGTGCGCCCCCCTTCATTTCAGTTGAAAACGTGTACATTCCAGTGCCTTTTGCCGCGTTCCAGATACGTTCCTTACAAAAAAAATAAATGCAACGTGTTCTACTTTTTCTGACTGCACTGGTGTGAACCATTGAAATCCATGTTAATGTCTATGCATCTTTGATGCACAATAAAAATACACTGGAATGCATTTGGTGTGAACCAGTCCTCAGTGAAGGCAAGGAAGAGAATGGGAGCGACTTTGAATTGGAAGATTAGAAGAAAACAGAGGGAATTATTCAATTAAAACTACACGCCATTTAAAACTGAAAAGTAAAAACGAAGGGAAAAAAAAAAAAAAAAAAATTAAGAGAAGAAATATGATGGACGATTAACAAAAAGGACAAAATGAAATTCATGGTTAAATACTTACATTATACTTCATGGCTTGGTATCCACACAGTGTGTTCATCACAGTGGTTGTCTGCAAAATAAAGAAAAATAAACTAATCACTGCTCATATTCAAAATGGCTGCATAAAATAACCCATTACACTTCTTAGACCTTAAGGATGGCCATACACTGACGTTCCTTTGTCTACATTATACAGTGTGAATGAACAGTGTGAGCCCTTGCTGGGCTGTCAGAATATCCGAACAGTGGCTGCATCTTATCTGATACAGCCGCTGGCTGGCAATTTGCGACCCAGCTCCTTCAGTGTTTCCAATTGAGGGAAAATTAGGTGGGAGAGGGCCGACAGCTCACCCACAAAGTCAGTTTATGCTGGTTCATCAGGAACCGGCTGAAATTCACAGGGCATACGGCCAATTCATGACTTTTCCTGTATTTGTTCCTCTGTGACTACTTTTGAGATTGCTATAGATAAGCTGTTCTACAGAACTAGGAAAGAAAGTCCTATGACAGGCATTTGTAATACTTCTTTCACGAGCTTCTTTGATAAATTAGTCTGATGGGGTGAGGAGGACTACAGAGATGCAGCCTGTGTGTAGTGAAATGGATCTTGTATGGATCCCAATGACAAGGTGTTTCATCACAGTCCAGAAGCACATCCTCGCTGGATTTTACAGCTCTCCCAAAAGGTGTCATTGGCAACTTCAGTAAGCACCTGAAAGCTGGGGTCCAATTAGTTTTTTTTCCAGTTTACTTTTTTTTTTTTAAATTTTACAGATAAAGATTTATTACAGGGCACCTCCATGACACTAAGTTTGCAAAGTCAGCTGGGAATTCCAATAAGACATTCCAGCACTACCTGAATAGTTAAGACAATCCCTCTCTTCTGGGAAGGTGAAGACTTTAGATCTCATTCACATGAGCGCCGAGGCTGCATGCAGGTAGCCCATATATGTGTATGAGGACTCATTAGCTATATGGACACATCCGCTCATCCTAATTTGGCAGGGGTATGGGTAAGCAGCTTGGAATGCATATTGTCTGCATTGTCCCCAAATGCATACTGTCAATATGTGCATTTTTTTTTCTTAATATGCACAAAAAGCAAAGCATGATTTAGTACTGAATATAATAAATAAGGTAGATTAAAAACACAAAAACGAAAAAAAAATTACATATTTATATATATAAAAAAAAAATGTTTCTGTTGTGTTTTTAATCTACCTTATACACATATACATACACACACACACACACACACACACACACACACACACACATATATATATATATATATACACATACACACACATATATATATATACACATACACATATATATATATACATACACACATATATACACACACACATATATATATATATATACACACATATATATACACATACACATATATATACACACACACATATATATACACATACACATATATACATACACACAATACACATATATATACACATACATATATATACATATACACATATATATATATATATATATATATATATATATATATATACACACATATACACACACACACACATACATATACACATACATATATATACACACATATATATACACACACACACACACACACACATATATATATATACACACACACACACACACACACACACACATATATACACACACACACACACACACACACACACATATATATGTTTATTGTTCTTTATGAATGTTGAAAATTAACGAAGATATTCCAACCAGAGACTATAAATTAGACACTCCCATGCCTCCTTACCTTGTTAGTGATGCAGCATGTGTAGGGGACACCACACGCAAGAGGCCCTGGAGCTATACAAGAGTGATACTCGTTCTTCTCCCAGTCCATGTACTCCTCTCCTCCACAGCATTTGAACTGGAAAGAAGTATTTCAAGCACAGAATAGATTAGAGGAAAAAAAAACAAAAAAGAATAAAGGGGGGCACATGGATTTCCCCATCTGCATTACACAGCACAGATTAACTAATCTGCAGTGCTGACACCTAGAGGCATTTTCATGCTTTGCAGTTTGTTTTTTTTTTTTTGCCTTCCTCGGGATAAACTGTGGGTACAGGATTATGGTGTCCGTTTATGAACCAGTGATAAACGATCGCTGCTCAGCTCTCTGGCATTCTCGGAGAACACAGCTCTCCTGTGAATGCCTTTTATGAAGCAGTTCTCCGAACAAAGGGAAAACGGTCTACAAACGGTCTACAAACGGTCGAAACGGGCTGATTTTACTATAATATCGCGAGATTACAGTAAAAGATCAGTTTACTAAGCAGAGGTAAATTATCACTGCTTAGTTTACGGTTCCTCCGATTCTCCAGCTCTGGGCTGGAGAATCTGGAGGGAGACACAAATCTCCAGTGAAGGGCTGAACATGTTCTCCGCTGATCTCCTGAGTGTTATAAACTGTGAATGACCAGAGAATAGCTGCGATCCTCGGAATCGCAGCTATTCTCTGTGTCATAAACAGATACCTATAACCTTTTTTTTTTCTCCTTTTTTTAATGGTTGAACTGGATGGACCTTTGTCTTTTTTCAGCCAGACGAACTATGTAATAGCATACAGAAATTACATCTGATTGCATACAGGCGCTGGTTGGCTGATAGCCAGGTGGTGCCAACAGGACTACGGATGAAATCAATTTCAGACAATTTAGGCTCCATTCACACCACATAGAGCGCACATGCGTTGGCATGCTGCTTTGCACTTTTACATGCGTTGCAATACTTTGTTTAGTTCACCAAGCTTTATTTGTAAAGGAAATTTCAACTGACTTTAATCATTATTTATTAATGGGTTGCATAACAAATGTATAAATAAAAAGTGTAGAGATCACGGTATTGACAATGTTAATATTACAGATAATATAGTTGCCGGACTAAAAATACAAACAGTTGTGGATATAGCAGGCCAAACAATTTCTGCAAATAAATATTGGTTTTCAATTAGAGAACTGAGGGGGTCGCTATCCAAGTGTAGCGATGTCACACGATTTTTATAAAAACATAAAGGGTCGTACAATATCTGGGCAGATTACCCAGAGTTGAAGGGAAGGGGAGCTTAGTAGAGGGAAGGAAAAATGGAATTCTAGTATAAACTCAGTCTTCAACTGACTGATTTGACTTCTGCATTTATGCACGGCATGGTGCACTTGTTGTAGGGCCTATTCTGCCAAATCAATTCAACAGTGTGAACTGCTCCTATTGAAATACATTCCTTTTAAAATGCATATAAGCTGGCATGTATTGCTAAGTGTATGCCAGTGCATCTAGTGTGAATAGACCCTTAGCAGGTATTGGCAGAAATTCGATCTGTGTATGACCCACTTCGTAGTTATTATTCTTTTTCCAAAATTTAAATATGAAGCAGGACCCCCTGCAAAAAAGACAGTTAAACCCTCGGCGCCTCCTTGCCCTTTAAGGGGTCTTAGATGTTGGGAGGCATCATGTGACCGCCATGATTGGCAGTTACATGATTGGAAAGCTCCCGATCGCAGGGCACAAGCTTGTTTATCTTTATGTACACATATGCGGCCTCTCTGCATTGAGGCCCACCTGTCGAGAGGCTTCATATTTGCATATTGCCAGTGCCAAAGAGTTAATGGTCATCTCTTCCAATGCCCACGTCATAACCCTGCTGTAATGAAGAGCCGCTTCCTGCGGACGCTTCAGAATCGGATTTCCAGATGTGTTGCCTGGTCCCTTGCTGTGCTGCTCTGTGCTTCCTCCCATAGGAAGCTAGGTCACTATAGGACACAGTAGGAACATAGGGGGCAAAGAATCAAGCCCTCAATTTCAAAACGCTCTGCTACAAAGTCAAATCGCACAATGCAAATTTCAGATGCAATTCATTTTAATGGTTCATAAAAACGTGGTGCGGCTCTGGCGCTTGTTGCCCAAAAAAGGAGCAGAGTGTTTTTAAATTGCCATGATTCTGCCCACGATTCAAAATGCCCAGGTGTAAATGGAGCCTGAGCCTATTGTAGCGAGAAACTCAAAAACGCTCAACAAGCAAAAACCTATTGTTTTCAAAAGCCCTTATTCACATCTGTCTCTTGTAGCAAAATGCCTGTCACACAAAAAACAAAAAAGTACATGAGCTACTTTCCAAGCAGAATTGACCATTATTGTCCTCAAAGACGTCAACAGAAATGCTTCACATGAGTGTTTAAGTGGCTTTTTTCACAAGCGTTTTGTTGCACGTGTTCTGCTCAAACAGCAGCTCCCCATCATTTTTTCAGCAGCACTAGTTGAAAAATGCCTAGCAAAAGTTACACAAAAATGTACCATTCTGTTCCAAAAAATGCTCAAGAACTCTTGATAAAAACGCTTGAAAACATAATGCTATGATGTTGCGTCATGTTTCCAAGCGTCCTGAAGTTCTTTTGGGCAACATGCTTCACGCGAAGTGGTTTGCCATGATGTATCGCGGCAGAACCGCACCGCGCTTCCAGGTGCCATTAAAATGAAAGGCACCTGAACACGTGGTTTCGGGATTCTGCCCATGATTCAATACACCATAGTGTGAATGTGGCCTCAAACCACTTAGCACAGTTGGGGACCAGAAATCCATGACTTTAGGACTTACAGTAAATATTTAGGCACTGATCGAGGGAAACAAAAAACCGAACAGGCTGGTTGTACAGAAGTTGATTTAGATATTGACTTCTGTACAACCAGCCTCCATATAGATGGATCGAAACTCGGATGGTTCCAGCTAAACTTCGATCCATCTGTGGCCGGATTTACAGTTGGGACTCAGAAAAAACAAAAAACTGCCGTGTTAATGCCATTGACTGACTGCTGCACTAGGTCCCAGGATGATGCAATCTGAGTAGAATTTTAGCTTTTCTGCCCCACAGTGCGTACAAGGTCAGAAGCTTTCCTAATAGAGCATTACTGGAGTTAATGTGTCATCTGAAATTTCTCCATCAATGGCACAATGTGTGTTGATTCTCACCTGCTTCTGCACAAAGTCCATGATATTTTTGAAGTCAAGGTCGTCGTAGTAATTCCGTATTCCACGACGAATATTGCTGTTCAGGAAATCCATGGTCTGAGGAAGAGAGGGAACAGGTCACATAATCCATAGTTACCGGATGGAAAATGGGTGAGGTAATGTTTTTATGGGAGAGGAACTGCACCCCAGAGCAATAAACTAGTATGACAACATGAGCAGCAAGTTATTCGGCAAACGCCTTAAAAGTGTATCAATGAACAAAATGTAAAATCATTTGTTGCACCCTCTAGGTAGATAGGATTTTTGTGGCTTGTTAGAAGCCTGGGAGGTAGAGAAGTCAGCTCAGGACAGGCTGGGAGGCTCTAAAAGGTCAGGGCTTCTGGAGCCCACCCACTCTTCTAGAACTTTCTGGAAGAGGGGTGAAGGAGGCCTGGATTTACAGGTTTAGGGGAACCTGACCAATCCCCAGGGTGAGGCCTGGCATGGTGGCTAGGACAGCCCTTAAATGTGAGAGAGAACCTGAACAGCAGGGGGTTGTTGTTGGAGTCAGGTGGAAGATGGACTGAAGGAAGGTGCTGGAGCGTGGAGCCTGGGAAGGGTCCCTACCTACAGGCTGGCGAAGACAGGAGGATCACCACTGTACCTCAGTCACCTAGTGGAGGATGGCCTGTCAGCAGGGAAGGAGCCAGCCCAGCATAAAGCCTGAAAGAAGCTTCAACCTTTAAAGCTACAGGAACAGGATAGTGTGAGTACTTCTACACCCCCTGGGCCACAGAAGGGAGAGGGTGGTCAGGTGCAATACCCAACTAGTTCTAGGACTACTCAGCAGTAGATCTTGGAACCCCTTGCCCAAGGATACTCTCAGGACAGCTGGGTGGATGAGGAGAGTTTCATCTGGGGTCTGTGGAGGTTTACCAAGGGGAACTCAGTCCTTACTAAGACTGTTGCTGATTTTTGTCCACATTTTTGCTAAAAAGTTGTCCTCAAAGTCCTACAGTTCCTCGGGCATCCCCTATACCCCTAGACCCCATCAAAGTTGTTAACCCCTAATAAAAACAGCAAAATCAAGCTCAAGGACTGTTTTACCGACTCTGAGGGAAAAAAGAAAAGGTGGAAAATGCATGTTGCCTGTCTGTGCAGAGCTTCGGGGGACCCAGCAAAATCTAGTAGCACTATACATATATTCATTTAAATTATTTCTAGCCTATTCCTATTACTCTCACTTGAGGTTTGTACACAAAGATCTACTTCCTTGAATTCTGTGACATGTAGTCACTATGCCCTGTGAGTAGACACTGCTGTGTCACACATTTCACAGAACCTGTCTTCTGACTGGCAGAGGAGCTGGGAGGAGGATTTTCAGGGGACGGTGGAGTTAGAGGAATTACTGCTTGCAGTCAGTGGGGTACCATGGGATATGTAGTCCTTAGAAGAGACAGAAAAGTTGCAAAGCATGCAGGGAATCCAGGAAGTTAAAGGAAAGAGATGACAGCGGACAGGCAGCACTCACAACATGAAAGATTTTTCAAATAAGTTTATAATGGATTATCAGATATAAACCATTAGAATTGTTATTACAATGATATTATAAAATGAAAAAGTGTCAATTGTGACCATAGAAGTCCTTTAGCCTTTTCACTGCCGGAGCCGTTTTCACATTTAAAACAAAAAAAATAATCTTAGGCCTGAAGATTGAACAACCCCCCCCCCCCCCACCCCAAACATATATTTTCTGAAAGCAGATGCCCTAAATAATAAAATAGTGGTAATTGCAATTTTTTATATCACACAATAATATTTCAAGGGTTTAGCAAAATTTAATTTAAAAAATACACTAAAGTTTAATTTTAGAGCACACTAATGCAATAAATTACCCAATTTTTTTGTAAAATATAAAAGATGACATTGTACCAAGTAACTAGATACCCAACAGGTATGGGTATTTTTATTTTTTCTTAAACCAAAAACCACTTAAAATTTTGAAAAAAAAAAAAGTTTTAGTTTTTGTTAAATTTTGTAAATAAGTGATTTTTCTCCTTCACTGATGTGCGCTAATGAGGCTGCACTGATGGGCACTGGTAGGCTGCACTGATGGACACTGATAGGTGGCACTGATGGACACTGATAAGGAGGCACTGTTAGGTGGCACTGATGGGCATTGGCAGGCATCACTGATGGGCATTGAAAGGCAGCACTGATACATGGCACTGATAGGCGGCACTGACTGGCACTGATAGGTGACACTGAAAGGCAGCTCAGATGGGCACTGATATGTGGCATTGATGTACACTGGTAGGCACTGATATGTGGCACTGATGGGCACTGGCACGAGGCAGTGACATAAGGCACTGATGGACACTGGCAGGTGGCACTGCTGGGGCTACACTGATCATCAGGGAACACACTTCGGCTCTTTCCATGATCGGTGATCCGCTGTGTCCGAGGGACACAGCACACCGCTGATCGCCGCACGCTCCCTGAGCCGCGCATGCGAGGTGAGAATGGGAGGACGTCATATGACGTCCTCCCAGAACGAGAGAACCACCTTGCGCCCGTCATATTACTATATGGCGGGTGGGAGGTGATTAAAGATGCAGGAGATAAACAAAAAATACAAAATGTTCACTAACTAGTTTAAAGCTGTAAAACTTGATATTTTGATTACACCCTATTGCTATTAAGCTATTGCTGTTATGTTTAAATTGACATAATAAAGCTATGTTATAATTGCAGTTTTTTATATTTTGGACTCTTTATTCTAAAGAAAAATGTAATTTCATAAGCTTTAAGGGGGCGGGGTTGGAGGCGGACCTGGGCAAGGTTGGGTGGGGCAACTGGTGGAGAGTAAGGTTTGTGCCTGGCTAGTAGGTCTAGACTGGAAATTTAAAGCCCTGCTATAGTCTATTGGGGAAAGACAGCCTGTCAGCAGGGAAGGAGCCAGCCCAGTGTAAGGCCTGAAAGCAGCTTAAAAAAAACAAAAAAAAAACAAAAAAAAAAACAAAAAAAAAATTTAAAGCTGCAGGAACCGGACAGTGTGAGTACTACTACTACAGGGCTAGGTCAGGTGCAATACCAAACTAGTTCTCCCTGGGAGTGTCTGGCTTATCCTTTATCCCTTTCGCTGTCACAGCCCTTTTTGCGTTTTTTGCACACTTTTAAAAAATCTTAAGGCCTGAAGATTACACAACTCCAAAACATTATATATTTTCTGAAGGCAAAAGACCCTAGAGAATAAAATAGAGGTGGGTCCAATTTTTTATATCACACGATATTATCACAAAGGTCTAGGAAATACAAAATTTCATTAAAAAAAATACACTTTTTGGTTAATTTTAGGGCACAAAAAGCAATAAGTTATCCACATTTTTGGAGAATATAAAAGCTGAGGTTGCATTAAGTAAATAGATACCCAACATGACAAACCTTAAATTTGTGTGTGCTCGTGAAACGGCAACAAACGTTAGTACCCTATATTTTCTATAGGTGACGCTTATAAAGCCCCTTATAGGTCATCAGTTTGTCGTTACGGAGGGGGTCTGGTGCTAGAATTATTGCTATTATTCTTGCGTGTGTGGCGATATGTAACATGTTTTTTGTTGTTTTCATGTGTAGGCGCCCCAGCGCATGTTTTAAGCTTGTGCGTGTACACATATGTAGGGGGCTTAAATGTTTGGGTGTAACTTACATTTTTTAAAAATAAATTTTTTTTAATCACATAGTGGACAAAAAAAAAAAAAAAAGTCCCCTATGTGATGATTTGTGGTGACATGTTCTCTTTTTTGAGACATCCAAAGACTAAAAGACCCTGCATGTCTCCCCTATGTTCCACTGAATGTAATGCAGTGCACATCACAGTCCTGGGCCCACAGATGGGCATGCAGAGCCCGGGACATATAGCGGGCAGGGGGGCAGCGGCAGGCACTGTGGAAGCAATCGGGCGGCCTGAATGCTTCCACCTGACAAATGAGCCCTGCTGCCTTCCTGCGGCAGGGCTAAAGGAAAGAAAAAAAAAAAAAAAAAAAAAAAAAAAAAAAAACGATACCTGCCCGGAGCCTAGAACTACATATCCTGGGCATCGGGCAATATGAATTGCACATCCCTGTGCCTGGCTGTGCAGAGCTTAGGGGGACTAAAAAAACTCAGCGGCCCTCAAGAGGGTAGCGCTACAATTGGATTTCATCACATGTGGGCAATACCTAAGACCATCACATATGGGCATTATTTACAGTGGTCTGCACACAAATGCAGCTTGTCTAGGAACTCCCACTCCTCCAAACTGATATCCACCCATCAAAGCATTTTGATTTTTGTATAACTTCATCCAAGGGCCAGCCAACTGTTTGCATCAGGGCTAAGGGTTCTTGAGAGGAGTACTGAGGCAGGAGGCTGTAAGGTTTTCAGAAAGCCATGTACAGCAGTCTGCCAGCCCCTTCCACCAGCAGTGGTCTGCCTGCATTGCATAGAGAAGCACAGAGAGCCAGCAATGACATCACTGGAACTTAAATAAAAGGTTTATAATGAAAAAAAGGGTATATTAAAAAAAAATAAATAATAATAATTAGCAGGTTGATGGGGTTTTGGGTAGGCAGGGGAAGTCAAAATATAAGCAGATTTAACATCAGCTTTAAGAAAGGTAAAATGTCTTACCTGGTTTCTAAATATCAGGGCAACGATCCCGCCAGTGAGCTCCAGGAGAAGGCAGACCCCCAATGTGTACATGAACTGCAAAAAGAAGAAGAAAAAAAAAAATTTAAACAAAAAGGACACTTGGAGATAGTATGTATGATAGGATGGTGTAATAGATGGGGCTTTCCAAATTTGTTGAAGACACGGAAAACCCCTATTGCCTTGGGGACGGACCCAGAGTAGTGACAGTTACGGGTTTTTTTTTTCCGCTGAAGACAAAAGACAACACAAAGCCTGTGTCAGTGTGAACGGGTATTCTGGTCAGTGCAAACAACAACCCTTTTATTCTACAATGACCGCAAATGTAGAATAAAGTGTTAGCTCATGCGTCTCCATCTTGGTAAAACTCGTTTGCCACTTTCAGATTACAAATGGTGGCACACAATTATATAGGTTTCAAAATGCCTTTGTGAATAAACACTCCAATTAAATTATATGAACTTTGGTGACATGTCTTCATAGACATGCCGGCCACACGTGTTACAATCTGATGGATGAGTCACCTTTACATACAACATGTATGTAGTATTAGGACCTCTCTGATAAAATCTAAATTGAACAGATTTAGGTAAAGCTGAATAGATTGTAATCTTCACCTAATTACGGGTCTGTTGCACTCTTTGCAGTCTTTAATGACATAGAAGTCCCACAATGCTCCCGATAGCTAGAGACCAAGGCATCAAGGCTGCCTAGGCGTTAAGTCATGTGACAAGAGCAGCGGTTGTGATGATTCATAGCAGGCAAGGGGTACACTCTTTTTATTCCAGTGATTTGATTATACACTCAGTTGACATGTTAAAGTGACACTAAACATCCTTACCTCATAATATATAATTGCCCTGTAATTGGTTTTTCATGAAACGGTTTATTATTGTGTTTTGCTTCCTTGTCTGCCTCCATGAGTTTCCAAAATCTCCTTTTCTCTCCCCCCCTCCCCCCCCACTCAGGGGCAGACTGACCATTTGGAAACTCAGGCACTGCTCGAGGGTCCGGGGTCAGTAGGGGGCCCCATGAGATGCCTCTGGTACCTTTTTCATAGGCTTTGGAGTTTGGGCAAGGACACAGGGGCCCCATGATCCCCTATTGCCCAGGGGCCCTATGAGTTGTCAGTCCGCCCCTGCCCCTACTTCCATTTGTTTGAAACAAGTAGTGCAGGATAGTTGTGGTCACACACCCTCACATAGGTGTGATCCTATGCCCTCGGTTTTCAGTGGCATAAAAGCTGGGGGAAGGAGAAACAGCAGCACACTGATCTTCCCAATTAATGGCTGTGCAAGGTGGTAGGGGGTGTCAGGGCAGGTCTGACCATTGGGGGAGAGCAGGCTGAGATTTCAGTACAGCTAGAAAACGGATCACGCTGTGCTCTTATGCCTAGTGTGGTCATTTTTAATAGGAAAGCAGAGGAGACTGGCAGAACACCAGGGATTTCACACAAAGGAATGCAAAAAGAGAACAGGATACTTTTTGTTTTGTTTTTTTTTTTTAATACATGTACATGGTACAGCAGGCACATATCAGAAATATGAAATGTTGGGTCTACATATTCTTTAAGAATACATACTTGTATAGTTTTTCTTCTTTTGGTATAGTTTAGTGTCCCTTTAAGTTGTGTGAAGTGGATATTATCTATCCCTTTAACCTGATAACCTAACACAGCAATAGAAGGGCTTAAATACTTACCTTTCCTGCAGAAATACTAATCCAGACTTCTGCCAATGCTGAAGTATTGATCATGTGATCTCCGCTGAAGGGGAATCAGAGTTCACACCAGCTCTGTGTAATCGTCACCCGGCTAAGCCCTTTCTGCAGAGATCATTCGAGTAATGCTCCAGCATTTGGCCATGTTAGCAGCATCTGAGAAAGACCAGAACAGCAGTTTCAGATAGACTAATATTTCAGCTCTTCTCTCACCAATTTATAGTGTAGTGGGCTAAGAAGAATGAAAACTGACAACTGTTAATTTTAGGCCTACTTTATCCCAAAGTAGCAGATAACATACAGAACAGGCTCTAGCAAGGTATTTAGCCTCCCTATCACTCGGATTATGTCAGCATTTCTGTGCTCAAAGTGGTACATTTTTTGCATTGAAATATGTTGTTTTTTTATTGTAGGCCTCTAATTTTTAGGAGTAACTCACTGAAATCTGTCCGAACAAGACTCTAGTAAACATCCCGGATATGTTAAAATTTAAAACACGGAATCATAAATTGTAATTTAATAAATCATCATAAAAAATAATATAATAATACATTTAATTCACTATAATCAAACCAAAAACACTGAAATTTTAAATATAGCGCCAAGTTTGCACATCACTGAGCTAAGTCACAAAATCGTTTTCAGTGTCTGATGATGAATTTCCCCACGAATCATTATCACTCAATTCTGCAAGTGGTTCTGATTTACTATCGCTGTTCTCTAGTTGGTCTAAAACAGATTTTGACCTAAAGGGACGCTTTTTGGACACCATGGATTTCTCAGTTTCCAGGCAGAAAGAACAGTAAAAATGCAGGCAGGGCACAGGACAAAGCACTCGGGACAAAATGTATGTGAAATGGTTTGATACAGGAATGTTTTACTATGTGATTTTAGTGAATTTAGTGAATGTCACTTTTACAATTTTCAAATTTCCCGTCAGTCCCGTCCCCGTACGTCCTGACATCGCAGGGAACGGAACCCGGAAGACAGATGCCGGCATCGGCCGGAGGACATTGCCGGGGACACTGCAGGAGGGACATCGCGGGAGCACAGGGCAAGGTAAGTGAAGAAGGGATCCCAGAGCAACGCTGCAAGGTATTCCCGAGTGTAGCTTGGGGTTACCGCTTGTGGTACTGAAACTTTACCCCGAGCTACACTCAGGAATACCGCCAGGGAGGTTAAAGACACTCTGGTGCCCTACCATTTATTTGAGAAAAAAAAAAAAAATATATATATATCTGCCAATAAAATGACATGGGCATTTAGCATATTTATGCATGTTATTTACCTATAAAAGTCTCCTTTGTGTAGACATCTAAAAGCCCTGAGATCGGGGTGCTGGGTGCCATTATCTTGGGTACGACGTCAGCAGCCCCTGCAGACTCAGAGCTGTCAATCAAGTGACACTATATAGCAGCCATTCTTAACCTAGGTTCTGTGGAACCCTAAAGTTCCTCTAGAAGTTGATAGGGGTTCCTTAACCAATTCAATACCGGGCAATTTTACACCTTCCTGCCCAGGCCAGTTTTCAGGTTTCAGCGCTCTCACACTTTGAATGACAATTGCGCGGTCATACAACATTGTACCCAAACTAAAATTTTATCATTTTCTTCACACAACTAGAGCTTTCTTTTGGTGGTATTTAATCACCGCTGGGGTTTTTATTTTTTGCTAAATTAACAAAAAAAAGACCAAAAATTTTGAAAAAAAACAAGTTTTTCTTTGTTTCTGTTATAAAAGTTTACAAATAAATAATTGTTCTTCATAAATTTACGCCGAGATGTATTCTGCTACATGTCTTTGGTGAAAATAACCCAAATTAGGATGTATTTTTTAGTTTGTAGGAAAGTTATAAGTTTACCTGAATGAAAATTGATCAATTCAGTTTTTTTTTTTTGTGCTTAGAACTGTGATATCCCCAAATTTGAGTCACAGCTAATCTTCATAAGATGAATGGTGTTTTTTGAAGTTGTGATTTTTTTTGTTATTTTTTGGAAAATGAAAAAATTGACCTATTTTTTTTTTACATACTTCACAGTGCAGTACAGCGTCATCATATACTGGCAATGGCGGTGAACAGGGACACTGATGGCAGTATGAAAAAAAAAAAAAATGTTATTATTTTTAAAGCCATCTTTTTTAAATTTTTTTTGTATACATGACCAAAGTGTACAATGTGACCTGCTGTGATTGGTCACAGCAGCAAGTCACATGGTACCTGTGATTTGGTCACAGCAACGGATTAGCTGTGACCATTCACAGCTAGGCACTAGTACTACAATGGATGGCATGAATGAAGATCTGTACATCATGGACCCGTGTCACAGAGGTCACATGGTACAGCAACGGGGGGCCGGTCAGACAGCCCTGTCTGAGGTACACGGCCGGTGACAGGTGCCGCTGTGCCGCTCTGCAGTTGCGCGAACTGAGCATGTGCGGGAGCACGCCAAATGGCGTGCACCCGGAATGCAGAAGCACTTTTGCCGCCGCCAAACGGCCATTGGTCGAGCGGCAAATGGTTAAGCTATGGCTAATCGACCTTCAAATTTGATGGTGCTTGGATAGTTCTGACGTTAATACCACTTGGCAGAGCCAGCTGCAGGACACCAAGGCCGCCTGTAAGGGTGGAATTCTGTCACCACTATAAAAGGCAAGCCATAGAAGAGTCAAAAAACAAAAGAAATTTTAACATACTGTCACCCTAGCAGTACAGTGTCACTATGTACTGCTAGGGTGACATTATGTAAAAAAAAATATAATATAAAAAAAAACATTTTTTTTTAAATTATAATTTTTGGTATTACTAAACTAATTTAGGTTTTTTTTTTTTTTACTAAAAATAAATTTTGGCCAAGATTTATGAAGAAAGATTTATTTGCAAAATTTTATAAAACACTTTTTTTCAAAATGTGTGGACTTTTTCCCGTTTATATAGAATCCCAGTGATGAATAAATACCACCAAAATAAAGTTTTATCTGTCTCAAAAAAATGCTAAAAAATTCATATGGGTACAGTGTTGCATGACCGCACAATTGTCAAAGTGTGAGAGCACTGAAAGCTGAAAATTGGCATGGACAGGAAGGGGGTAAAAGTGTCTGGACTTGGCGTGGTTAGGGGGGGGGGCATTCTTTCCCCTGGCCACAACTGTAAGGGGTATTCTTTCCACTGGTCACCAATATAAGAGGCTTTTTTTTTCCAACTCACCCACAATTAATTGGTTTTAGCAGAAGAACCATGAGACTTAAAGTGTTACTAAACCCAGGACCCTGCATTCACTAAATCTGGTCTCCCAGGACCCTGCATTCACTATATCTGGTCTCCCCGGACCCTGCATTCACTATATCTGGTCTCCCCGGACCCTGCATTTACTACATCTGATCTCCCAGGACCCTACATTCACTATATCTGGTCTCCCACAGTACACAGAACATGGAAGTGTAATTATTTTAGTAAATATAAACTGCTAAATACCTTCACTCCTTCACCAAGAGTGACATAAAATGTAGGAAGGCGAGGGGAGAAGTGGAAGAGCTTGGCTAGCTACTCCACTTCAGATGGTCACTGATCTTTTTCTCCTTTACCAGGCTACACCTACCATATGGGTCCCAGGCCTACAGGTAGGATTGCTGAGCCCAAAGACACATACAACTGCCAAATCGCTTCCATCAGAAAGCAGTTGGCTTGTTGACTTTACAAGTATTTCTGGCTGCTGCAGGAGTCGGGAGTCTTTTTAAAAACACACCCGTTTCTGACAATGTATGGCATAATTGGTGGAAGTGAAAGAGTTAAAAGGCTTCATGAAATCTGCTCAAGGCTTGTTGACAACTCCATGAAGCTTGCTGTTTACGCTGCTCTTATGCAAGCTGAAGCCCATGTGATCCATGCCCAAGGGAGTATCTCATGAAAAATGAAACTTCTCTTGCAAGGAGCTTCTAAAATCGGATACGTATGTCTGTGCAGACTTCAGAGGAAACCCAAGGAGCCAAATCACACAAATGGGAAATTAGATTTCTGGAGGCATCAATGGTGTGCAGAACGCCTTGATCCAGATTTGAAGAAGAAAGCAACACTTGACAGGTTCTGAAAAACGACAGTGCATGCAGAATTAATGGAAGAGGAGATTTAAAAAAAATAAACAAATTACAAAAATGGTCTATGTAGCAATTATATATTTGTAAATCAAAAAGTGGAGTTTTCCTTTTAAACTGAACTCAAAAAGTTTTTCCTATGTTATAGTAAGGCTCCATGTACACTGCAGCTGATAAACACACGTTTAGGAGCTTTTCTGCATCTTTTTCAGCAGTCCCTGAACTCTCCCTAATGTTTTCCTATGTGTCCATGTACACCATGTTGTTTACAGGCAGTTGAGTTTACAGTCGTTTTTTTTGAACGCACCAAACTTGCATTCGGGATTAGATTTTATCAGCTAGTAAACGCAGCTAAACGTGTTTATAAGCGTTTGGAAATTTTTTTTAACGCTTCCATTTCCAGATGCTGTCTACAGCCTTTTTTCATCATGAAAGATGCATGCAGAGCGTTTTCCTGGTACCTAAATGGACCTGGTACACCATATTTTGAGAAAAATTTTTAGTCATTGCTGCAATAATTCCTGCACAGAAATGAGCTGGAACACATCCAAACACCACAAAAAAAAAAAAAAAAAAAAAAAAAAAAAAAAAAAAAAGACAGCTAATCTCAACAAATACTTCTCTCTCTGCTTCTGCTCTCAAAATGTCTGAAATAGTTAATTTTTTACTGTTTTTCAGTGCTTTCGGGAAGGTCTCCTGAGCTTTTTAAAAACCGCTTCTAAACGCGCATAAATACATATTTTTTACCTACGTTTGTCAGCAGTCAGTTTCATCGTTCAGAAGTGTTTTCCAAACGTCCCGTGTACATGGAGCCTAAACAGAAAGGTTGTTTCCAAACAAAACCCTGAAAAATGCATCTTTTGCCTTAATTTTCTCTTTAAAAAACTTCAGGACACTTCTTGGCATATAAAGGGTACATAGACACGTGTGTGTCTACAGCCTCATAACTGTATATCTGCAGTGAGATCTCAGGCACTGTTCCCTCTGACTGCTAGTCTTGGGAGATTTTGATTTGGTCAGTCACTAATGTGCTGCTCACTATTCTCCTTGCTGGAGGCTCTGACATGTGGAAGCAAAGTCCTGCATCTGCCAAGATGGCCACCTGCAAATAGAGACACAGTGCAGGGTGAGGCAGTAATGAGGAAAGGTCAACAGCAGGAACACCATGGGTAATACTGGCAACTATTCCTTTGCCAGTCTGATTTTGGGCACAGCTTCCAGAGTTCAAAATGTCTTTATTACACCTACTTAGGGGCTGCCATCCATGGAAGAAGAGATTCACAGTTTAGAAGTCACAACTGAGGCAACACACAAAGAGACATACTTACCACCTGAAGAAGGCACAGGTTGTCCCGCAAAGAGGCCAGGACTCCAATGAAGGACACCACAAACATGACCACTCCCAGGAGGATGAGGATGATGGCTGGAGCCAAGAAGGCGCCATGGAGTGTTTTGTACTTCTGCCTCTCTACTTCAGCATATATCCCGATAGCCAGGACCAAAGCGCCAAACAGCTGAAGAGAAACCAGACAGTCAGTTAAGAAACAGCATTCATATAAATCACTTACTAATAATTTTTTTTTTTTAACGTATAGTCTATATTGGATTTCTCAATCATAGCAACCAAATTCCAGCTATCGTTTCTGCTGGATGTTTTAGTAACACACTGGTTTCTTGGGGTACATTCACACTTGTGAATGTACCCTACTGCAATTAAGATGGGGTTCCCAGCAGTTAGCTGTGGGAGGCAGCCCCATTGAAAGCAATGCGAGACTGCCAGCTAAATCGTGGCTGATTACGTGTGATTGCACATGTTGAGATAACCTGCGAATGACCAGCCCTAGACTGTTGCAATTGTAAATTGAGTCTTGGAGCCAAGCAGCAGGTTCCAATTAATACCACCTTCTCTTCCAGCAGTACATAATCAATATTCCTTTACTACCCCTCTTCTCTGTTTAATCTCTAGGATAAAAAAAAACAACACACACACACACACACGGAGGAGAATGGGCTTCGTTCTCCTGTGAGACAGCACTGGCGATTGGTCCAGTGCTATCACATGGGGACAAGAAAGAGTCCTGTGTAAGCTCCAACTAAAGCTACCAGGAGCTTACACAGTTTCCTTTGGTCACTCCTGGCATCTGAACAGAGCATATACAGTTGTGTTCAAAATAATAGCAGTGTGTTGAAAAAAGTGAATAAAGCTCAAAATCCTTCTAATAGCTTTTATTTCCATACACACAAATGCATTGGGAACACTACAAATTCTATTCCAAATCAAAACATGAAGAAAAATAGATCAAATTTGTGTTGTTCCTGTAAAAAAAATTGAAGAAAAGTGAATATTAGACTGTTCAAAAAAATAGCAGTGTTTGTATTCTTCTTTACAAACTCAAACATTCACTATATAAACTGAAAAATGTTTGAAGATTTTGCTTTCCTTTGAATCGCTTAATGAATATTTAGTTGTATAAGCACTGTTTCTGAGAACTGCTGTACATCTGTGTTGCATGGAGTCAACCAACTTCTGGCACCTGTGAACAGGTATTCCAGCCCAGGATGATTGGACTACATTCCACAGTTCTTCTCTATTTCTTGGTTTTGCCTCAGAAACTGCATTTTGGATGTCACCCCACAAGTTTTCTATTGGATTAAGATCCGAGGATTGGGCTGGCCACTCCATAACGTCAATCTTGTTGGTCTGGAACCAAGATGTTGCACGTTTACTGGTGTGTTTGGGGTTGTTGTCTTGTTGGAACACCCATTTCAAGGACATTTCCTCTTCAGCATAAGGCAGCATGACCTCTTCAAGTATTCTGATGTATTCAAACTGCTCCATGATCCCTGGTATGCGATAAATAGGCCCAACACCGTAGAATGAGAAACATCCCCATATCATGATGCTTGCACCACCATGCTTCACTGTCTTCACAGTGTACAGTGGCTTGAATTCAGTGTTTGGGGGTCGTCTGACAAACTGTCTCTGGCCACTAGACCCAAAAAGAACAATCTTACTTTCATCAGTCCACAAAATGTTGCGCCATTTCTCTTTAGGCCAGTCAATGTGCTCTTTGGCAAATTGTAACCTCTTCAGCACGTCTTTTTTTCAACAGTGGGACTTTGCGGGGGCTTCTTGCAGATAGCTTGGCTTCACATAGGCGTCTTCTAATTGTAACAGTACTCACCGGTAACTTTACACCTTCTTTGATCTTCCTGTCATTTTGGCTATTCTTCTATCCATTTGAATGGTAGTTTTTCGCTTTCTTCCACGTCTTTCAGGTTTTGGTTGCCATTTTAAAGCATTTGTGATCATTTTAGCTGATAAGCCTATCATTTTCTGCACTTCTTTATATGTTTTCCCCTCTCCAATCAACTTTTTAATCAAGGTACGCTGTTCTTCTGAACAATGTCTGGAATGACCCATTTTCCTCAGAATTTCAGAGAGAAATGCACTGTAACCAGCATGTACAACATTTGCTGCCTTCCTTCCTTAAATAAGGGCAATAATTGCCACCTGTTTTTCAAAGAATGAATGACCTCAGTAATAGAACTCCACACTGCTATTATTTTGGACATTCCTCTTTCAATTAGTGATTCAATGACACAGAATCAGCAGCATGCATGTCATGACTGTTGGGTCTGTTGGATTTCTATTACTCTACTACACCTGCTAGTAAATTATTTGCCATGTAGAAATATCATTTCTACCAAAAACAGTGATTGATCAGGTTAGTGATGTCTGACTGCTATTATTTTGAACACAACTGTATGCTCCAGTGCTGTCACATAACCAAAAGCTTAGACTTTTGATCACAGGATCTGTATTGAAGAGAAGGATCGGAATTTAGACTTGACAATGCTTACCCTTCATCAGAGATCATGTGACCAAAGGCCTAAACTTGTGGCCATGTGACCAGCACTAGAGGGAAGAGTAAGCTCCAAGGAGCAGGGCCCTCCTATCCCTCTTGTATTGAACTGTATTGTTGCTGTATTGTCTCCTGTTATATTGTAAAGTGCTGAGCAAACTGTTGGCGCTATATAAATCCTGTATAATAATAATAATAATAATAGTAACTAAGCACATCTTTCACTTTTATTTTTTGAGTTGCACTCTTGGTCAGGTTATCATTGGTGTCTGTGTCCTTGATATGGCAGACACAACAGGAAGAACTCTAGGAATGCTGGAGATCTAGAAAATTGTGGTTTTGGAATTTTCCACGTTGCTGCTATCACTATTTGTTAAAGCAGAGGTCCAGTAAATTAAAAAAATTAAATAGCTGCTGACTTTTAAAAACACAGACAGACACTGACCGGTCCCTCAATCCCCATCCTATGTCCCCGGCATCTTCAGTATGGGCACCCGGCTGTGACAGCTTGTGGCTTCACAGCCGGGTGCCCACTGCGCAATCTTCTGGGACCTGTAAAGTGTCCCAGAAGACTAAGGAGAGGGGGAAAAACAACTTCTGCTTCTGATCGCCTAGGCCAGTGGTGGGCAACCTTTTTTTTTTAACAAAGCCAAATCTCGCCAAAACCACGATTGAAATTTATTTTGAGAGACACATTTTTAAAACTGAAAATACATCCCCCATATAGTAATTCATCCCCCATATATAGTAATTCATCCCCCATATAGTAATTCATCCTCCATATAGTAATTCATCCCCATATAGTAATTCATCCCCCATATAGTAATTCATCCCCCATAGTAATTCATCCCCCATATAGTAATTCATCCCCCCATCCCCCCTATAGTAATTCAACCCCCTATAGTAATTCATTCCCCATATTGTGTCAATTCACTTACCTTTGCTCCGCGCGTTCCTCTCGCCGTGTTCCTGCGCCGTTCAGGTCTTCAGGGCGGACTGTGAGAGGAGAGGAGTTCGTCACGCTGCCCCGCCTACATCCTGACAGCCAATGTTTGCCACGCTCCGCGGGCCGGATTAAAAGGTCCGCCGGGCCGTATGCGGGCCGTAGTTTGCCCATTGCTGTGCTAGCTGCAGAGTCCTGACTTTTGGGGCGACCGCCCGAGAGGAGGGAGGGGAGCGGGCGCCCGGCACACAGAAGAGCCGCATTAAAGTGTACAAAGAGCCGCATGTGGCTCGCGAGCCGCGGCTTGCCGACCACTGGCCTAGGCAATCGCAGCAGAAGTGGGAGCTGGTAGTTCTCAAATTCGGGTACCCCGCTCCCCAAAGGTGGCAATTCTTAATGGGAATTAAGGATTCGGAGGAGGAAGCTTTAAAGCAAAACTTCCCCTTTTGGGTGGAGCTCCAATTTTAAGGTTTCCTTATAATAATTCAAGCGTGTGAACAAATAAATCCCTGATTTGACACATTTTACAACAGAAGTCTATTTTTTTTTCTAATATGAACTCTAGGGACCATATTGCATACTTACATTGGTCCAGCTTGGGCAGATTCTTTGATTGGACACGGACAGTAGGGGTGGTGAGGTCATAATCTCCACCTCATCCAATCAAAGAATGCCTTGTATACACAAAAACATATGAATGGAGGCAATGTCTAGAAAGCAGCCCGTGGTCAGTGAACAGGGAGGAACCTGCTCAGCACAGGAGTCGGACGCTTGCAGGAATTACTGTAAGCTCGAAAGAGCAGGGCCCTCGAACCCCTCGTGTATTGTATTGTTACTGTATTGTCTCATGTACTGTCCCCCTTGCTGCTGAGCAAACCCTTTGGCGCTGTACAAATACTGTATAATAATAATAATTACTGTAGGTAGTGCTGATTACTACAATGGATCTACAGAACCCCTAGCGGCCCCATAGGTATGAGATATACATACTGTACATTGATCCACGCTGGATAATAAAAGATCATACCTGGACTTTAGCTTTAAAGTAGAACTATAGGCAATACTTCGCCTCCATTTTGGATAAAGCAAGGGAGGGTTATAACCCGTTAGGTTTTTGTTCACCATCTGTGTCCCATTTCAGGATTTCCCGTCACTTTCTGTCCCATATCCAAACACGATATGAGAGGTAATCCCTGTAAATTAAGGAAATCCTTTGGGGACCCCCCAGGTCACCAGAACTAGTGTCCGCTATTACTTTTCTGGGGACAAGCCAAAATTTGGGATTTTCTTTACTTTCAAGAATAGCAAAACAGCACAAATAGGAAGGGAAGGGTAAAACTCCCTAATGAGAGTACATACAGCAATAAAAACGGACAGGGGTTCTAATCCCTCTCCACTCTGTCCTAAACTATGCTAAAACTAATGCTTCTTTCATTATGAACACCCCGGTCACACTGATACCGACTTTGAAATTGTGCGGCTTCAATGTAAGTAGCACAATTTCAAAGTCAGGTGACATACCGATTTGCATAGACAGACACCAGACACAGAGGTCTATGCAAATCGCACCAAAAGTAGTGCATGTACTACTTTGGAAATCGGTGCGGCTCTGAACAATTCGGAACCGCACTGATACGACCACTGAAATTGCGGATAATAGGGTGCGACTTGGCATGCGATTTGCAAGTCGCAGGGCATGCAAATCGCACCCCAT